GTGTGTTATTTTCTATCTTTTTTATGTTAAAGGGGGGGGGGGGGGGGGGGGGGGGAAATCATCGATTTGCAACTTAAAAAAAAAAAATCTATGCTTTTATTCCTGGTTATACTTATACGTGCTTATTTATGTTGTGAACAGTTGGAATGTCCAGACTTGCGGTTCAGTGGACCCAATAAACTAGGGAGGCCAGAATATTTTGAACACCTACGCAATGCCAAGTTCTGCCTTGCCCCGCGTGGGGAATCTTCTTGGACTCTTCGCTTTTACGAGTCTTTCTTTGTGGTCTCTCTCTCTCTCTCTCTCTCTCTCTCTCTCTCTCTCTCTCTCTCTCTCTCTCATGTGCATAAGATGAGTCGGTTGAAATGTTGTTTGTCTATGCCACACAGGAGTGTGTCCCAGTGATAATGTCAGATCAAATAGAGTTGCCTTTCCAGAATGTTATTGACTACACCCAGATATCGATCAAATGGCCATCCACTCGAATAGGGCCTGAGTTGTTGGAGTACCTAGAGTCAATTCCAGGTCAAATACAAAACCTACTGAATCTTGCTTGGCTTTCTGAACTGTTTCTTTAATATATCATAGCTTAACTTGCAGTCCTTTATTTATTTATTTTTTTTGTTGGAGCAGATAAAGACATAGAGACGATGATAAGTCACGGTAGACAAGTAAGGTGTTTATGGGCTTATGCTCCCGAATCATCGCCGTGTTCTGCAATGCAAGGGATCATGTGGGAACTTCAGAGGAAAGTTAGGCAGTTTCAGCAGTCAGCTGAAACATTCTGGCTTCACAATGGATCATATGTGAACAGAAATTTGGTCGAATTCTCCAAATGGAAACCTCCCATGCCTTTATCTTGATCCTGCTTGAAAATAATCCATTTCACTGCCTATTCTATAGTCCGTTTTTTTCTTTTAAATTTTTTCTCACAAACTTTGATATAGTGTATATTGTTTTTCCTTTCTTTTCTCTTCTTTTCTTTTTTCTTTTTTGAATATATTTCCATTCAATCGCCAAGTTTAACAAATATTAGAATAGTTCAAATCCCTCTGCTCTTTTCTTCCTGCCGGATGCTATGAGTTACCCTGAGGCAGGTTGCGCACCATTTTAAAGAAGTGATAAATTACTCTTGTTTTACTACGTTCAACAAATTCGTGCTTAGTTTATTTTTATTGAATAAGTATTTGCTTTTTGGACGCTCTCTTTCCTCCATTAATCAAGTAAACTCGAATTATAAAAAAAAAAAAATATATATATATATATATATAACACGTCGCAAATCATATATGGTGGCAAGGGAGTAGTAGTCTTTTTTTTTCCCCCTTTGTTTTTTGTTTTTGTGATAATTCAAAAATGGAATTGCAAGAGTAGCCACGTTAGAAGCTCAACATTCTTGTGGCAAAAGAATAACCTATATGCAAGTTGATCAATGCTGTCTAGTTCAATTTCAAAAGAATAATAGTGGGTGACTATTATAGTTTGGTAGTTTATGAAAAAAATAAATTACAGATAATTTTTATTTTTTAGACGTTAAATCTGTAATAAAAATTATATATTTTGCGTTTTTTTTTTTTAATACGATGAGATTTTTACTAGAATTAATGGTTAGAAACCCTTGGAGAAGGATAGTACACAAAACCTCGACATAATTCTGGCGCACAGGACCTAAACCCACTATTTTGGTGGCAAGTGGCAAACTAGATCAGTGATATCAACAAGTTATTCAACACACCACGTGTCAGGTCAGAAATCATGACCCTTTAGCTGGAAATAATAAAATAAAAAAGTTTTATGACACCTAAAGCAGTGAGAACCTCATCTTTCCCCAACTGAAAAATTATGTTTTAGTTCATCACAAACTCATAAGCACTTGCAATTCTCGAGACAAAAAGCAAGCTTTTGGCTACTAATTAAGTAACCATTATTGTTCCTCTTATCTCCTCTAAAACAAGGTTCTTTTTTTTTTTTTTGAAGTGGTGGAGAAAATGGGAGCAGTGAACTTGTTCCCAAGCTGCAGTTTCTCAATCTCTTGGACCTATCATCACAAGCACAAAATGATTTCTTCATGCTTAATGGAAAATGAGGTCTCAAGAGCAAAAGTTGTTGCAAGAAATTCTAGAGAAAATAGTAGTATTGGTTTCCATGATGGAGAAGATGAGAAACTGTGTGTGGTGTTGAAGAGAAGGTCAGTTTTGTTAAGTGGTGTTTCTTTACTTGCTTCTTCTGCAGCAGTTGCGGGCTTCCCAAGTGAAGGCTTGGCTGTGGTCAAACAAGGTCTTCTAGCTGGGAGAATTCCTGGTCTCTCTGAACCAGATGAACAAGGTTGGTTTCTTATATATCTTTTAAATTCCACATCTATTTCCCTTCCTATTTTTAACAAAATTAAACGAAAAAATAAATAAAAATTACTCATATAAATTTACGTTGTTAAATATAAACAAATAAATTGAGTAAGCTAATACCAAATTCTTTATATTGGGTTCATAATAGTAATCTTTATAATGTTTTTACAGTAACACGTGGTTAATTCGAAACTGACATGATTATTTAGAGCAGCATAAACGCAATCCTGAATCAACTAAAAAAAATTAAAAAGCTCAAGTAGAATAACATGCTACAAATAGGCAACTTCAAATCAATAAAGTAGCCATGTAACCCTCATTGATAAAGCAATCTGTAATCCTTGATTATCATAGTTATGGCATATACAATAAGGAAATGCCTATTTTATATGAACTCAGAGGGAAGTGAAGGATACTCACATGTATATGTCATATGATGATGCATATATTAGGAACTATATCTCTCTCTCAGCCATTCCACCAAGAGACCAACGCAGTGGCTAGATTGCGTCAGCTATGAATTTTCAGGCTGAAGAAGACATTCATACTACATTATATAATTCTTCCTCTTTTATTTTTATGTTTAGTAAGTTTTCAACTTAGTAAAGTGTATGCTCAGACAGGTTGGAGGACATACCGAAGACCGGATGAGAAGTCTGGAGGGCATGGAGTTGGATGGAGTCCTATCATCCCTTATTCCTTTTCGGTACCTCAAGATTGGGAAGAGGTACAACTTTTCAACCACATATTTTCAATTCACCATGGGAAATTCATGGTATGCCCTTTTTTTTTCAGTTTAACTTCATAATCACTTTTGTGTTTGCAAATAGGTTCCTGTATCAATAGCAGACCTAGGTGGCACAGAGATTGATTTAAGATTTGGTAGCGCCAAAGAAGGACGCTTGTTTGTTATTGTTGCTCCTGTTCTCAGATTTGCAGATAGTAAGTGTTCCTAAAAGCATGTAAATACCGGTAGCTTTATATATACTATTATTACTTATCTAAGAATTTACAAGGAGCACCATTCAGATTGTGGTTGTGATGTGCAGATCTTGGTGATGATGCCAAGATAGAACAAATTGGACCTCCAGAGAAAGTGATCAATGCATTTGGACCAGAAGTGATTGGCGAGAATGTTGAAGGGAAGGTTGTTAGCATGAGCGTGGCAGAACACTCGGGAAGAAAGTACTACCAGTTCGAGTTGGAGCCACCTCATGTTCTCATAACAGCAACTGCAGCCGGGAATCGCCTTTACATGTTTAACGTTACCGGAAGTGGTAAGGATGTTATGCACGTTTTAACTTTCTTCTGATTAGACACATCATCTCAATAAAAATAAGAATAAGTATTTAAGCTTTGACTTGGATTTTGTAGGTCTACAATGGAAGAGACACTACAAAGATTTAAAAAGGATAGCTGACTCTTTTCGCGTTGTCTGATTGAGACACTTGTAAAGTGATGATACAAGCACAAATACGAGCCTTTTTTGTTGTTGTATCAAAAGAGTAAAGACTAGGCATTTAAACTTTGAGGGTAACTTTCAATGAGATGAGTGTTTGACAAGTTGGTTAAGCACTCAACTAATGTTCTGTTCATGCTGTTATCACATACCAGTATCCATTTTGCTGTGCAAGGTATTCAACTTAGAGAGGAGACCAATGGGGAATGACTTATTACAGAACATGTATAGTTTTGAAGATGCTATGAGACGCAAGGCATAAACGAACTGCAACCGGGCGTCTTTTGAAACCCTTCATTTGTGATCACCAGCCTTAACCTTTCAGCCTTCGCCCACCTCTCAGAAGAAGCATATATATTTGACAGAAGAACAAAATGTTCATTTTGGCCTGAACCCATTTTTGAATTTAGGTTGTTGATCTCTTTGGCTACCCGTTCAGTCATCTCCATATCCAAATGAATACGGCAAGCTCCAAGCATAGCCCCCCAAACCGTGTCATTGGGTTCCACAGGCATCCTCTTGATCAAATCATAAGCCTGCTTCAATCTCCCTGCACGCCCCAAAAGGTCGACCAAGCATCCATAGTGCTTCACATTCGCCACCAAGCCATATTTCGCCATCTTGGACAAAATGTCCATACCTTCATCCACAAAACCTCCACGTGCACAAGCTGAGAGAACGGAAAGAAAAGTTACGTCATCAGGCATTTCTTCTGAACTTTCCATCTTGCCAAATAACTCGAGAGCTTCCTCGCACTGCCCGTGAACAGCAAACCCCGAGATCATTGCATTCCAACAAGCGGCATTTCTCTCAGTCATCCCTTCAAAGACTGATCTTGCACAGGCCAAATCCCCACATTTTGCATACATGTCAACCAGTGCATTGAGCACAATCTGATTACATTCCATCCCTTTCTCAATTATCATGTCATGTATTTCCCTGCCAACATCAAACAGTCCCGACCGAGCGCAGGCAGATAAGACGCTCACAGTGGTAACTTCATCCGCCTCATAGCCCTGCGCTCTCATTTCGTCAAACGCCTTCATAGCTTCCTCACAGAACCCATTTTGCACATACCCCGATATCATCGAATTCCAGTTCACCAAATTCCTAACTGGGATCCTGTCGAAAATGATCCTCGCCTCCTCAACATCACCCTGCTTGCAATACCCTGAAACCATCGACGACCACGCAAAGCAGTTCCGCTCTGGCATCTGCTCAAAAACCTCTCTCGCCTTCTCCATTTCTCCATTGCAACTATACCCATCAACCATCACAGTCCACGTGATCAAATTCTTCATCTCCGACGGAACACAATCGAACAACTTCCGAGCACTGACCGTGTCACCACTCCTAGCAAACCCGTCAATCATCTCATTCCAAGTTACTGAATTCCGCAATGACATCCTCTCAAACAACACAAAAGCAGATTCCACATCGCCATTCTTCAAATACCCACCAATCATCGCATTCCAAGTGACGACATTTCTCTCAGGCATTAAATCAAACGCTTTCCGGGCATCAAATATCTCTCTACATTTAGCGTACATGTCGACCAATGAGGTTCCGACCAAGACATCAAAGAGGGTCCCACTCTTAATGGACTCGGCATGCAAAGCCTTCCCACATTTTGGGAAGCGAAGAGAAGCACAAGCCTTGAGAATGAGAGGGACTAGTCCCAAAACGTTGTGGATTCCTTTGCTGCTGCTGCGAACTTGGGTGTAGAGGCGAAGAGCTTCTTTGGGTGAGCCTTGAGAGATATGATTCCTCGTGAGGACTGTCCAGTTCGGAGAACTTGTCTTCTCAATTCCAGAAGAGTTTTGCTTGTGATTATGAAAGTTGTTTGTAATTTTTTGCTGTAAACTTCTTCTCATCTCAAATTCAATGAGAGAAATCAAAAGTAGTAATTAAAACACTTGCGTAAAACAAAATGCTAATGTAGGAAAAGGTTTAAGAAAATTTATTTGGGATAAATCATTTTGATATCCCACGACAAAACATGCTATTATTATTTTGTATTTTTAATTATATCAAAACAGTTTTTTAACAATTTTAAAAATATCTTCTTAGTATTTTAAAATTTATTTTTGAGACCTAAAATTATTTTAGTATCATTTTATTTAATTAATCAAAAATTTATTAGAAAAATATTTAACTTTTTTCCTTTCTTGTTTTCTTTTAAAAATTTTAATATTTTAAAATATATTATCATATTTTTAAAAAAAATATTGATTTTTATTTAATTAATAAGAAAAGTAATTTTGACATTATATGTCTTAAAATTCAACTTTAAAATATTAAAAAAATATTTTTAAAAACATCAAAGTATTTTTTTAATATTATAATAAAAAATAGTACTAAGAGCATATTTCGTTTTAATACATGTATCAAAATAATTTTTTCTCAATTTATTTTTATACAATCGACATGCAAAGAGTTGTTAAAAAAATACAGTAAATACTATATTATGAGTGAATAGACAGTAAATACTATATTATGAGTGAATAGACAGTAGATACTCTTTTTTCATATATGATATGGATTTCTTTTTAAGAAAAAAAATAGTGAAGCAAAATTTGGGAGAAAATCACTTATGAGTATGTAAAATAAAATAGTATTTTAGATGACAATTAGTTTTTTTTTTCAGCGCGTTGCTGCGGAAAAAATTGTTATATTATAGAGTAAGTCAGGAATTTTTACATTACAGTATTAATTTATATATACATACATACACACATATATATATTTATTTAAAGATCTATTAAAAAGGTTTATACATGTACATAAATATATGTATATATATATATTTTTTTAAATGATGCAAAACTTAACAAAGCAGTAAATGATGGAGAATGTAATAGAGTAGTGAATGGTTTAAGATATAACGTAGAAAAGAGATAGGCCAGGGCAAGAAAAAGAGAATAACAGAATTACGTAAAAGAATTGGACAGGTTACCAACAATATTTATAGATGAAAAACAGAGGGAAGCAAATGAACAGTACACAACCTATTACGATGTTACACATACAACGGGTCAATATTAATTTACAGGAACTAAATTACTCAAATTCTTTAATCAAATGATAAATATGGTATACTGTTACAGTAAAGAAGAAGGAAAAGAAAAAATTAGGTAAAATAATAGCCATCTCACAAAAACAGCAAAGGAAAAAATAACAGACAAAATTAAAAAAGCTCTAAAAACTTTTTCCGCTAATTTTTTTTTTTTTTTCACACCGGAAATAATGAAGTTAAAAAGGGTAAAAAAAAAATCATTTAATACCTCTGCAGAAGATTTAGTACAGACTATCAACATACAAAACTAAATAATCAACATGCTTCTACAGATCATCACCATAATAAATACATAGGAAAAAAAGTGGAGATTCACTTGTAGAGCATATGAAATCAGCATGAGCAGAGATAGGTCGATCTGAAGAAAAGCAAAAAAAATGAAGATAGGTCATCATCCTACGGAGGCAAACAACCAATATAGACAATACAAATTATTAGTATAATAAATGTGAAGAGAAGAAAAAAATCAAGATTCAGTTACGGAATATTTAAAATCAACCTCAGCAGAAAAAGAACAATCGAGAAAGCGACACTCCTTTTAGCAAAAGAAGAAAACAAAAACCAACTAAAATAACAAATAAAGAAAGGGAGAACTTTTTTCCAACAAAAAAAATATAGACTTCAACTCACATAAAAGGACAACCACCAACTACAAAGAAGGAAAAAAAAAACCACACAAAATACCAAGAACGGAAACAAAATCAAATAAAAGCATTGTTTTTTTCTCTCTTTTTTTAAGGGAAAAGATTCAACAAAAACCAAAAGAAGAAGAAGAAAAAACAAAGAAACCAAAGGGAAAACCAAAACAAAGAAAAAAAATCAAAATAGCCAAAGAATCAAGAAAAAAAAAAGACATAGAAGATCAACATCTGTACCGGAATCAAATAGGAAAGCCAAAGAAAAATTCTAATACCAACCGAAGGATCAACAATTTTTAATGAAACCCATAGAGAAGAAATAAAAATTAGGGCTGTAATGGCCTACAAAATGACTAAAGCAGCAACCAAAATAAGAACCACTAAAGATAAATAAAGGTCAGCGTTGTAATGGTGAGAAAAAGGACAAAAAAAATCGGAGCCATGGAGGAAAATAACCAACACAAAATGAACCAAGCAGCAAACACAATGGATACCATCGAAGGAGAATCGAAATTAGAACTCCAATACCGAGCAAAATGACAAAAACGCCCACTGGGCAAGCGGCAAAATGGAGAAAGGAAAAGGGCATAATTATAAATATACATTTGAGAGGTTAAAAACGGAACTTCACAGTTCATAACAATGTATAGTGAACAGTAACCATTCACATTCTCCTTTAGAATATGTATAATGAGATAAGAAAAAGACGTTTAAAGAAGATAATTATTTATTGTAGTTTAGAAAATAATACTATTCTCGAGGATTATGAGAAAAAAAACTATTTAAAAAGGTGCATATTTGAAAATGTTTATATCAATAGGGTAAATTGAAGAAATATTTATTTTAACAAGACATTCAAAAAATTAAAAGATTGTTTAAGATTTTTTTTTTAATTAAATAGTAGGTTCTCGTCCATGGCCAAAATAGATCGTTAACTGCTTTCCCTAACTACCTTACTTATGTGATATGTTGTTTACGTTGTAATAGTAACTACTTTTTGAAATGAAACCATTCATAGAATATAAACTAGTACAATCCAATCCAAATGGAGCATAAACTAGTCGAAGTCCTAAAACGTTGCAAGAGCCTTAGAGAGTTGAAGCAAACCCACCTTCAGATTCTCGTCCATGGCCTCCAACACTGTAACTTCACGCTTCCCAAGATCCTCTCTCTCTTATCTCAACTTGGCTTCACTGATTACGCTTTCGGGCTATTCCGAAGCTGTCGTTTTCCTAATGTTGTCACCTACAATACACTCATAAAATTATGCTCTAAAGAGAAAAAGAAGGACCCTTTTGATGATGCTTTGCGTGTTTATTCTCAGATGAAGGCGTTTGGAATTGCACCTAATGATTTCACGTTCACTCTGCTTCTTAGGTGTTTTGAGTCTTTTCTTGAGGAAGAGGGCCTTAAATATGGTGAAGTTGTTCATGGTGATATTGTGAAACTGGGTTATTGTTCTAGTGTCTTTGTTCAGAACACCCTTTTGGATTTATATGCTAAGAGCGGCGGGAAATTGGACTCAGCTTGTCGGGTGTTTGATGAAATGCCTGAAAGAGATGTCGTCTCGTGGAATTCGATAATTACATCTTACATGGCTCGCGGAGAGGTGGAACTGGCATTAAGGCTGTTTGAATCCATGACGGAGAAGAGCATTGTGACGTGGAATTCTGTTGTTTCCGGGCTTTCCAAAGCTGGAAACATGGAATTGGCTCTTTCAGTTTTTCAGAGAATGCCCGAAAGAAACAAGGTTTCGTGGAACTCCTTGATATCAGGGTATATACGTTTGGGCGATATGAAGTCTGCGCAGCGCGTGTTTGATGACGTGCCAGAAAAAACTGTGGTAGCTTGGACGGCCATGGTCTCGGGATACACAACCATTGGTGATCTTGCATTTGCCAGGAACATATTTGATCGGATGCCAGTTAAAAATGTTGTATCATGGAATGTTATGATTGCAGGTTATGTTCATAATCACATGTTTGATCAAGCTCTTCATATGTTTAGTCAGATGTTAATAGACGGCAAGTGCAAGCCTGATGAGACAACTTTGGTCAGCATACTGTCTGCCTGTTCTCACTTGGGATCTCTTGAGCATGGAAAATGGGTAGATTCTTATATTAAGAGAAATAATTTTGGCTTGTCTATACCCTTGGGCAATGCTTTAATGGATATGTTTGCAAAGTGTGGTGACATGGAAAATGCAAAAACAGTTTTCCATAATATGCCCAACAGATGCATAATCACATGGACAACGATGGTTTCGGGTCTTGCTGTTAATGGAGAGTGTAGAGAAGCCTTAAATCTCTTTGGTGCAATGTGTTCTAAAGGGGTTAAGCCTGATGATGTCATCTTCATTGCAGTTCTGTCAGCTTGCATGCATGGAGGACTTGTGGAAGATGGTAAAAGGATATTTTTCCGAATGGTGCACAAGTTTGGCATAGAGCCTCGGATTGAGCATTACGGCTGCATGGTTGACCTTTTGGGAAGATCGGGGAAGTTAGAAGAAGCAGTCGGGTTTGTAGAAAGCATGCATTTGGAGCCAAATGCTGTTATTTGGGCTACACTTTTAGCTTCGTGTAAGATTCATGGCAATGAAAATTTGTTAGAGTCCATAACGAAAAGGATTATTGAACAGGAGCCTTCGAACCCAAGCTACTTAACCCTGATTTCAAATATGAGCGCATCAGTTGGGCGGTGGCGAGATGCCTTGACCTATAGAATGGCCATGAGACAGCAGGGAGTAGAAAAGGTCCCTGGTTGTAGTTCAATCCAAATAGGGAATAAGGTCCATGAGTTTCTGGCCAGAGATACAAGGCACGAGAGAAGGAAGGATATTTACAAAATTCTGCGTTGTCTAAACAGACACTTTGACGCAGGGCATGTCGAAACATAATGATAGGCAATGTGGTCAGTGTTCTCCGTGGATCACCATCTCGCAAACCCAACATTGCTTTAATGATTGATGAACAGATAATTGAATGGTTGATTGAAGTAAAGGTCATGTGAAAAAGCATCCTTGACTATGCTTTTAAAGAAGGAGAGTCCATTTTGTATTTCTTACAAAAAATGACAAGGCACTTTGGCTCTTGGATACATTGTACATGATAAAGACATCTAGCTTAAGCAAATTAAGAAGTTAATCTGCAAAAAATAAGTGTGGTTATTTTTGGCAGTTGTTTCTCATCTTCTAGAGATTGGGGGAATGGTCACCATTTTTGGAAATTAGTAGACTCTGAGAGACGATACCATAAGAGCACTTTGGTACGTACCGGAGCATAGGATTTTGCGCGAAAGCAACCAGTCGGAGTTGTTTGACATTTGTTTTTGAAGGTGAAATAACTATACTACACTACATCAGCATGCTAGGATTGATCTATTTGGTGTAATTGGCCTTCAATATCCGATTGAATTGCTTCACATTTTTGCTTGTTCCTTATACTGTGAAAGGGTTAGTTTTGTACAGTTTGGATTTGAGAAGGAGAATTCTTAATTTATGCTTTGAATGACAATAACAAAACTCGGTTCTGATATTCCTTCTTTTTCTCCTTTCATTCAGTGACTGTCAATCAGAAGATGATCAAACGATATACAGTATTATTGTTTCTACTATAAATTTTATATCTATTCACCTACTGTTGCTTGCAACAAGTGAAAAACGTTGTTATAAAATGTTAGAAAGTGCAGAAAACGAGTAATTGAATTGAAAGTCTGGGGAATGGAATTACATGGGACAAAACATGATTTTCAAAACATTATTCTCTCTCGAAAGGTGCTTACATCTAGGGCTGACAAAATTATCCATTGTAATTGGATAACCAATTTAATCCAATGTAATTTAATGTAAGTTGGATTGGACTTTTTTTTCAGCTTTTAATTAAGAAATCCAATCATATTGTGTACAGGTATGTATTTTTTAGTATAGTAATTAATGTTGTAGTTACTATAAGAATTCAACATAAAAATGTGTTTTTCTTTCGTAATTCTTACTGAGTATGGATTATATAGATTTAACGTAGTTGTTTGAATGAAGACATATGATTTAAAATAATAGTTTTTTAGTTTGTTTTACTTTTTTAATCATTATTTTTGAAAAGTTCTTAGGCCTCGTTTATTTCACCGATTCGAGTTTAGAATTCGAATTTTGTTACAGTAAAAAGCTCTCAGAAACAGTCACATCTAACTTTTTTATTACAGTAAAAAGCTCTAACATAAAGTCACATCTCAACTCAAATTAAAAACTCAAATCAGCGGACTAAACGGGACCTTAATTAATTTCCACATTCATGATTTGGATTCTTGGACTGAATTATATTTTAATTGTAAAGCGAGTAAAAAAGTCACACCAAATCCAAACAGACAGTATAGGGCAATATTGGATAGGAGAGCCTTAGGGAATTTGATTAAAGTAGGAAATAATAGGAATAAATTTTAGTTTAATCCAATCCCATGTTTGGTGTTGTGTTATTAGAATAATGGATTTTGTGGTATAAAAAAAAATTAAAGAATTTGGGATCAAATTGTAATTTTTTAAAATGTTAAAAGGGTAAATATAGTTGTTTAAATGTGTTTAAGTCACATAAATTTGGCCCCTCAATTTTTGAAAATTATGTAGCCCCAAATGTTATAAATCTTTGCAAATGGGTCCTAAAAATTTTCACAAATGTGTTCCATTTAACAGTGTGTTGTGTTTATCAGCTGAGTATAGGATAGCCGAGTCCCATTTGATAAGAATTCATCCCATTCAGTTCTTGAAAAAATTTCACCAAACACAGTGATATGATGCTTTTTAATTTGTTTGTTGTGCTGTACAATTTCAACCGTTGCTGCGTAACCAAAGTTCTTATGTCACTCATAAAAATGGACGAGTTCTATGGTTTCTGAAACTGGAAAAACTGCATCTTTTCTTTTTTGTTTGTGGTCATTGTCACAACTTCTAGTGACAGGCAGGATCTTCCAAAATCTCTAGTAATTTTTATTTTTTAACTCATATTAAAAATATATATATATATTTTTTTTAATCTGATATGATTTTAATTAAATTTAACAAAGATTAATACTATTAATAAAGAGACTTATTAGAAAAACTTTTTTTTTTCCTCTAGAAACTTTCTGTGTGATAACTGAAACAAGAACATGAGGCCATTTTTTTTTTCTTTTTCAGGTAGAAATTGGCAGTTTTGTCGGATGCTTCTTATATTTTAAATTTTTGAATGATAATAAAGTTGATTTTTATACATGATCTAGAACTTCGGTATTTTCTCTATTTTCCTTGGAAGTGTCACGGGTCCTTAATTTGTATTTGTTATTTTCGTTTTATTTTTTGCTATTTCTTATTTTGAATTCGAACCAACTTGCTAAGTGCACTTATTTTCTTTTGTAATTTTTTCTTTTATTCATGGGATTTGGAAGTTTGATTTACTCCTAAACTTGGCCTAAAGGTGGGTATAGCGTGAGACGAGTGATATATAGTTGTGCCTCATTAAAACCCCACTGATTAATGAAATATATGTGCTGAATATTATTATCAAACTTGTGTGCTTGTTGCAAATGCTTTTGGTTCTGAACCTATCAATCAATATCATGACTTAAGGCCCGTTTATTTCGCTGATTCGAGTTTGTAATTCGAGTTGAGATGTGATTTTGTGTTAGAGCTTTTTACTGTAACAAAAAAGTTAGATGTAACTGTTTCTGAGAGCTTTTTACTGTAGCAAAACTTGAATTCTAAACTCGAATCGGCGAAATGAACGGGGCCTTAATTAGCTTATTAGATTTTGTTTTTATCTTTTGTAGGTACAAAACAAAAGTATTAGAGCTGGTTAGCCTATTTACCATTTGCTTGCCACATCTCAAATTCAAGTGATGAAAGCAATTGTTTTTAGGTTGAAATTAACATGCATCGGTAATACCATCGCCGCGAATTCTGATAGTCGAGAAGCTGCCGCCAAGGAATGGCTACTGTCGGGTTAGTGTTGAATTTGATAGCGACATAGACGCCAAAACTGTGGAGAAAGAAGGATAAGTTAGTTTGTGATGAAAAACACACACACACACATATATATAAGTCCGAGGAGGTTAGCTCTCTATATTTTATATCTCGCTCATTTCACCGATTCAAGTTTAGAATTTAAATTTTAGTATAATAAAAAGTTCTTAGAAATAATCACATCTAATTTTTTAACTATAATAAAAAACTCTCATATAAAATTACATCTCAACTCAAAATAAAAATTCAAATCAGCGAATTAAACGGATCCTTAATAATTAACTCCTTGTAAGTTGTAACTCTCCATTATTATTATTATTATTATCTTGTTTTTGAACTTCTCTCATTTCTCAAGGAAAAAATTAGGTGGCATATCTCGCATATCTCAATTGTCCCCGATTCATGCATGTTCCATTGATCTTTAACTAATTCACTTGTGTGATATAAAGCTGAAACTTCAATATATATATGTGACGCAAATCCGAATATGGGGGCTTTTGAGGGGCATTATTCAAAATTTCTCTTTCTCTTTTCCAAGTTGCTATGGCTCACTTAAATTAGCAGTGCCATGGGCTAGCCCTACTTCCGGCCATTTCATCTTATGGGCTGGGCCGTACCATTCTAATGAATGCCAACATGAAACAAGCCTGAGCTTTGGATGTTGATATGCTGTAGAACATGCTACCCTAAAGCCCCTCTAAAGAGAAAATTACGTGAAAAGGTGATAAATACCATTAAAGTGTATGAATTTAGATTTAGATTTTTTATTTTTATTTTTAATTAATATCTTTTTTAGTTAAATAATTATGTTAATTAGAGGGTATTGAGCAATAATAGAAAGTAAAAATCTGAATTCATGCCTTGTAAATGTAAGTTGAGCAATTTTTTAAAAAATATTAAACTTATCCTTAAAAGTGTATAGGTATAGATTTTTACCCTTACTCATGACCAATATCCTTTTAATTAATATAACATTTGATTAAAAATTATTAATCAAAAGCAAGGAATCAAATCAAAACTATAATAATTTAAAAGGGTATTTATCTCCCTTTTCCATGCTAAAGGTTCGGCCAGGCTTAAATTAGGTTGTAAGAGAAGCTCAAGAGATATATACTTCAATCTATATTTTTAGTTTTGCGTCCTCTTATAAGAATTATTCCTATTTTAAACAAAAAGCAAAAGTGAATTGAAAATTTTTAAGAAAAAATATAAATTTTTATGGCGCTTCCGACATGGAAATTCCTCTGCAGATTTTCCCAGAAAAATTACCCATCAGTGCTCGCCTTTGGCCGATTCTTTAATTGAGCCACTTTTTTTTTTCCTTTCTTAATTCTAACTAATTATTAATCAAGATCAAAATATTCGCCTTTTTTTTTGTTTAATCAAAATAAGACATCGATTGGATATTAATATGCATAAACTAACATAATACATTGTGATTTCATACTTGTTGTAACAAATTAACTTGCAAATTAAATTGTAAAATATATAAATTATAGATATATGAAAAATTAATAAAGTCCAAATTTTAAATTTAAACAATATGATTTAAATAGAATGCTTAAAAATATACTAAAATTTAGTTAAGAAATTAAGTGACCAAGGTCTTCTTCCTTGTCTTATGATAAATTGATGATTCTTATTAAGAGAAAACAAATTGATGGTTTCGTAACTATAAAGAACGTAACCGTAGTATTTAAAAAAATAATAATAATAATAAAAAAAAAACAACAACAATGGAATTTATGACACTCGTAAGCATTCAGAGGGAACATAAAAATAAAATATATAATTATGTGGGGGCACTTCAATAAATGAGAAAATCTGTTAAATGTACTGTAGGGTTGCCCTACTCATAATGGCACTAATAACTAGTAACACATACACTTTTCAAAGCACTCATAAATTCA